TCAGCACACAGCCCCTCTCCCTCTCTGGATCTAAAGTCCCCAACTGGTCCATCTCTCCACATCATGGTCTCTGCCTCCATCTCTGGCGTCACTACTTCTCTGGGTAGGGTCCCGCTCTCTGCTCTTCTTCCTTAATGGTCCCAGAGACCTCCACTCCTAGACTGCAAAGTTAATCACTCCCCTCTTTGCTACAAAATGTCTACCTTTACATTTCCAAACCTCAAAATCAGTCCTGATAACAATTATTCACTGTTGTAACGTAAGAGACCTATCCACATATCCTTTCCTCAGCCCTGCCTAGACAGATTGGCTACTACTCATTGGAGATTCTACCTTCCTCCATGCCCTCTGGATCTAGGTTCCCTCTTGAAAGCTTATAAGCCAGTCACTTCCTGCCTTTGTAGCCCCATCCATTTTGGGTAGCCAATGTCCAAGTTGCCCATCTCTGTCTACTCTGTGTATGGAGGGGGGGTGGGGAATGATCCGCACTATAAAAATTTGTTCCCTCTTTTGAGCTGCATCCACAGGTGTAGGTCAAGTTCATCAAATTGTATCAGATTACCCTTTTTTTTTTTCCTCTTCTTTCTTCTTCTAGTTGAGTTCTGATCATCCAATCATTGAAATCAGGTCAAGTGGGTATTATTGGCAAGTGGGGGTGTTATTGTGCATATGCCCTCTCTTCTTATCAGCTGGAGGCTTCACTTTCCACTCTAGTCCTTTGTGGCTATGTCACTGACTCTGGGCTGAAGAGTCCCCAGGTCTTGCCACACTGCTGGCCAACCAGGTCTCCAGCCGGGTTCACAAGAGTTTATTGAACGTTGTAGGACTTTACTTGAGCTTCATTGCTGTTTTCCCTTCACTTCCCCTTATCGGTGACGAGCGTGGTCACCAATTAGAGCATGTATTCCTGTTGAGTCTTAGTCTTAGAAGGGGGTTTGCTCTGAGGGGACCCGAGTACTTACCTTGACGTCTTCTGGGTGAGTAACGTGCTTGTTTTTGTAGTAATCAGTTAGTCTGCCTATATTGTTTTGTATTTTTTCTGTCTGTCTTTCTTTCAAGAAGTATCGTCTGTTCTAGTCGCTTCAGGCTGGTCTGCCCATCCTTTCAAGTAGAAATTTCCCTTCTCTGAAGATTCTGGATGCTGTTCAGGATTCCACCTGTGGTCTTATGTAATGCAGAGGCTCCACAGGAAGACTCCTTCACTGGACATGTTGTAGCCCCATTTAGGTATTCCAATCAGTTATAGGCAGAAGAGCTTTCTATGGTGATATTTCTGGCTGTTCCATTCTCTCTCCCTCAAGTATCTATTTTATAATGGTATGCAAGGGAAACCAAGATTGAAAAGACAACCAAGCATCTTAACATTATTTCCCCCCTTTTCCCATCCAACCATGTCTCAATCCCTGTATCCCAGAGCCCTGTTGTTCCAAGGTTGTGCATATATCGTTATTTACCTCTGACCCACTTAGCCCGTGCAAACCTGTCTAAACCTGTCTAATTGTTCTCCATCCACTTTGTTCTTCCATTCCCCTATGCCCCCATGTATATTGCCCCCCTCCCCAGCACCCAAACTATCTGTGTTTATTCCCTGTCCTGTGCTCTACCTTCTCCTCACTCCACCCCCCACAAAGAATCAACCAGCAAAGAGTCCCCCCTCCCCCTTTAGTATGGGTTCTTTTTCTTAGTCTTTTACAGTAGTGGTCCTATGTAATATTTCTCCTTTTGTGACTGACTCTTAATGACTTTTTGCTTTCTTCATGTATGATGTTCTTGATGTCATTCCACAACTCTTCTGGTCTTCCGGGATGGACTACCCATTACATTATTTAAGCAGTGCAGCTGATTTTTTCTATTGGAAAAGAGATGGGGCTTGCACATTTTCCTCACCGACTGTATAACTGCCACCTCAAGTTTCACTGATTGGATGAATCAGTGTTACCATGGTACACTGCCCTAGAAGAAAGACCAAGATGATAAATTGTGAAAGATTTCAAAAGAGATTGTTACTGACTTGTTCAAAGGGGTTTATATGGCAGTGTGTCATGATTTGGAGTAGGACCAGACACCTAATGCCTTCTCCTTTTCTAAGATGTCAGTGAGTTCAATATTTTCATTGATTATTTTTTTGATGGCATAGCATCAAAGAGACTGTTGAGTCTTACATAGGGAATTAGTTTAAAATCCTGTACTTAGTTTGCTCTTGGGTTTTAATTAGTGTCATAAGAGTATTGATCTATGTTAAGATAGCAACAGTTAAATATTTTCATGACACAAATTAAAAGCCAAGAGCACACCAAATACAGGATTTTAAACTATTCCCTACGTAAGACTCAACAGTGTCTTAATGCTATGCCATCCAAAAATTAACCCAGTGTCAAGTCATTCTGATTCAGCAAGTATTGTCTACTTGTGTACTGTATGTTGGGCAGATGCTGCAAACTTGATAGATGAATAGAAGTATGGAATGAGGAAAGTAATAATCTCACTGTGTTCTGCAGAAATCAGTAGTGTCTAAAGCAGTGACTCTCAAACTTTCTGGTATCAGGACTCTTAGATTCTAGACTCTAAAAGCTTTTGTTTTGGTTTATGTGGGTTATATCTAAAATAGTGATTTACTTGACAGAATGCTTTTTAAGTCCTTAAAGAAAACAAAAATAAACTGGTTGCAAATAATATTTCTATGAAAAAGTTTATTTCCCCTAAACTAGAAAAATGCCATTTTTGTTAATACATACAAATAAATAACCTTTAATGTCTGATGGAATGTCTAATATTTAAAAGAGATTTTTTTTTTTTTTTTTTTTGGTAACAAAAAATCAAAAAGTATTTCAATGGGCTCAATGTTCCTTCTAGACAAGCATCATGGGTAGTTAGAAACAATTAGAAGGTTGTTTTGTTGTTGTTATGTGCTGTGGAGTTGGTTCCAACCCATAGCGACCCTGAACAGGTTTTCCGAGGCTGTAAATCTTTACGGGAGCAAAAAGCCTCATCCTTCTCCCGTGGAACAGCTGGTACTTTCGAACTGCTGACCTTGCGGTTCGCAGCCTGATTCGTAACCACTACACTACCAGAGCTCCTTAGAAGATTGCTTAGTGGAGTTGGAATCAGAATGGCGGCAGTGGCGGGGGGGTGGTGGGGCGCGGGCAATGAGTGGTCTCTAGTTGGGGAAAACCCACCATGGGGATTGATGCTTGCCCAGGGCTTACCATTTCATGTAACAAGTACTCAGTAAATACTTGGTGGATAATTTCTTGAATAAACCTGGAGAGGTTTTTGTCTTTGTTTCATTGCTAGGGCTCTACCTTTTTCACTATAGTTTAAACGCTGCATAGAGTTGTGTGAAGCACTTTATTTAGCTCAAGGTGTTTCAACTAGGCTGCTTATCTGAATCTAGGAAGTAAAAAAGGAAGATTTACTCATAGTGTTTCTTAGAATTTGAAGTGTTTAATGTTGAGGCTACTGCTAGCCTAAATTAATGAAATGTCACATATTTTGATAGTAATTCAGGTTCAAGAACTGGCAAACCTGTTGCCATCTAGTTGATTCTGACTTATAGTGACCCTGTAGGACAGAGTGGAACTGCACATAGGATTTCCAAGGCCGTAAATCTTCACTGAAACATCTTTCTCTCAGCTAGTAGATGGTAGCTTCTGGGGCTCTTTTGGAAATGTCATTGGAACTGTTTAGTACATCATTGACTGTTGTTGTTAAGTGCTGTGGAGTGGATCAAGTTGGTTCTGACCTTGTAGTGACCCTGTATAGGGTTACCAAAGAAAGACTGGTGAATTTGAATCACTGACTTTGAGATTCAAACCGACCTTGTGGTCCAGTGCTTATCCTGCAGTGCTACATTTAAAGTTAAACTTTATTTGTTTGATCCATGTATCACAAAATGAAATTTCCCATCAGCAAGTGTTCATCATTGCCTTGGATGAATTCAAATTTAACCAAAATATTTGAAAGGAACATTTTGATGGCGTATTATAGAATGAATTTATATAATCTACTGATGGACAAAAATAGTTCCCTAACATTTGTATCTCATCTTTTTCTTTTCAGTTATCTTCAACTGTTCTGAAGCACAAAACATTTCAAACCACTGTAGATATGGACAAAGAAGAAAGAAAGACTATCAACCAGGGTCAAGAAGATGAAATGGTAAAGCCAACTTTATATAATTTACTAGTGAAATGTGAAGAATTTAGCTCTGTAATTAATAATTCTACAGAGTTGTTGCTGTTATGTGCCATCAAGTCAATTCTGACTCATATCGAATCTTATAAGACAGAATACAACTACCCCATGGGCTGTTATCCTTTTCAAGTATTTCTCAAATATTGCCTGGCTATACTTACTTTCTGGAGTCTTGGTGTGGTGCTGTGGATTAATGTGTTGGGTTTCAAGGTTGTTTTGAACTGTAAGGTTGGTGGTTCAAGCTTACCAGCTGCTTCTCAGAAACCCTATACAGGGTTGCTTTGGGTCAGAACTGACTTGATGATACAAAAACAACAACATGCTTACATTAAAATTTATTTGTTTTTGGAAATTAAACTTTAACTCGGCATCTTGTATTTTTGTTTATTTAATTTGGTAACTTTGATGGGAATAACTGAACTAATTTGAGTTCGGTCAAATTGACAAATCACAGCAATGCTGGGACAATTGTCTTAAACTTAATAAACTTAAACTCATCTGATGTAGCTGGGATGTGGTATTCTGGATTGTGTCCTGGAAAGAAGAAGTCTGAATTATTATTGTACGAGTATTAATTTCTTAGCTTTGACGAATGTGTCAGGTATTAACATCAGAAGAAACTGAATATAGGATATATGAGGGTTCTTGAATATCTTTGCAACTGTTACATTTATTTTTAAATCCTACCTTACAACAAGAGAAGTTCTAAATTAAGATAAACATAAAAATGAAATTACAGAAGTTCTAGAAAAAATAGATTGAGACTAATATACTACATGTTAAGCACTGTGGTTCTCTGTAGGATAAACACTGGACAGTTAATCACAGGTTGGTGGTTCGAGCCCACCAGCTGTTCCGAGGAAGAAAGATGGGGCTTTCTGCTCCCTCAAAGATCGCTGTGAGTAGGAAAGGTGTCCTAGTAGCTTAGTGGTTATGTGTTGGGCTGCTAACCTTAAGGTCAGCAGGTCGAATCTGCTAGCCACTCGGTGGAAAAAAAGAAACTTTCTGCACCACCTATAAAGCTTTATAGCCATGGAAATCCTATACCTGGTCACTATGAATTGGAATCAGTTTGCTGGTACACTACTGCTACCATCACTTCCATGGATGTCAGTTGTAGAGTCAAGTAAAATAAAATTTTGTGGAGGTCTGGTGTGGTGCTGTAGAATAAGCACTGGACCACAAAGTCTATTTGAACTGCAAGAACAGCAGTTCAAACTCAACTAG